CTCAGTCACCCAGATTTAAAGGCTCTTCAAAGCTAGAAATAGAGTAATTGTGGCAGAAAATATATATTTACGAGAATTTATCTGGTGGTGCAGTACAGATTGGATTGGAATTGGGAAAGCTGACATCTCAAGGTGACCAGGTAAAATAAATTATAGTAATGTAGGCAGGAGGTAGTTAGGGCCTGGTAGAAGTAGCAGTGAGGGAAAGGTACACCAGCCTAAGAAATAGAGTCCAAGCGAGCATCAAACCTAATGGCGTTCGCTGTCGGGATAGAGGGTTTGGGAAGAGTTAAAGAGGGTTTCACATTATGTGACCCTCCTCTTCTTTCAAGTTTTTCTTATATTTTATTATGTGAGTATGGGTCTTGGTTGACTTAGTAGCTAGTTCCATAATAAATGAGTAATAGAGGTTTCTGAATTGCTAAGCCATGAGCAGTGCAGTAAAAGGAGCAGATAAACCAAGGCAGGCACAGTTGAAATCTCTGGAACAGAGAGTTTGGTTTATTTGAGATATATGCATGGCTCTCCAAGAGTATATTCTGAGCCAAGTTTAACTCATCATCCTGGCCACATTATTGGGTGAAGCCAAGTTAACTCTCGGGAAGTCATAGGCTTATGGGATTGTATAATAATACTTTGTGTTGCACCCTGACATCTCTGCAGACAAATAGGTGGTGATTCCTAGGAATCCCGGAGTCTAATGCTCAAACATCACTTGTAGGCTTTTAATAGTTGTGCTAATAGAGGAAAAGCACATTTTTTAATTCAGAGTCTGAATATACCAGCCGAACGTTAAAAAATGATAAAACATGAACTTTTAAAAAATGTGTATGTATACTTACAGAAAAATGCATATATCCTCATAGGGCTCTTTTGACTCTTTTGGACAGCCTAGTAATGGTACTTACTGTGAACATTTGTGCACCTTCCCCCTTTTTTGGCAGTGGTGGTGGTGGCGGTATACAGTTTCTGTTGGGTGTGTTATCAAGGAGAAGAATTGCAGTTCAAAAGCATGTATGGGCTCAGCTGTAAAATGGTTTCCAGCGTGGTTAAACGAGTGTTTCCTCCTTCCAGGAGCAGCATATGCACATTATAGTTGCTCATCATCCTCATTAACACTATTACTGTCTTTGAATTTTAGCCATTTTGTGGATGAGTAGCACTGTCTTGTTTTAATTTCCCTGATGACTAGTGAGGTTTAGCACTTATATATAGGCCTTTTGAATACCCTTTTATAACTATTTGCCTGTCAAAAATATTGAGTTGTTTGTCTTTTTCTTATTGAAGTCTTCACTTGATCTCTTCCATAGATTCTGTGACTTTAAGTGATACAAGGCATAAAGAAACCTATTTTACCACAGGCTAATTGATATAAACTAGAGTTAAGTTACTAATCCATCTTGGCAATGTTATAACAAAACCATATTGAAAAAAAGAATGTTATTCCAGGATCTTCTGTACACCGATGAGAGTTCTCTGTTGTCTATATTGAAAATATCTTCTCCCATTTTGTGGCACTATTTGTTGTACCATTTGATGAACATTTAAAAAAATATTTTTATTGATTTCAGAGAGGAAGGGAGAGGAAGAGATTAAAAAAAAAAAATCAATGGTGAGAGAATCATTGATTGGCTGCCTTTTACACCCCCAACTGGGGGTTGATCCCACAACTTGGGCATGTGCCCTAACTGGGAATGGAACCATGACATCCTGGTTCATAGGTCGATGCTCAGCCACTGAGCCATGCCTGGTTACAAGACTACGTACATTTAGATTTATCAATCTTTTCCTCTATGTTTAGTGCTTTTATTATGTCCAGTCCAGATTTGGTTATAGAGTTTTCCTACTTCAGGGCCATGAAGATGTTCTATATTCTCTTTCAGAAGCTTTGTTGTTTTGCATCTCACGTTTTTTATCTGTAATCCAAGTGGAATTTTTTTTTTGCATCAATGTCTGACTTGTTTTGAGGCTAATCTTATCTGACCTTAGTTCTTCAAATTCTGAGAAGCAGTTGGGTGTATCGGAGTCCTCAATGTTCTTCATGAGGGCAGGGTAGTGTTTGAGTAGCCTTGGGAATTGAAGCCTCTTCTTAACCATGTCATGGCACTTGTTCTTTGTTTTGTGTTCTTTATCCCTTTATTATAATACTTGAAAGTGTAGTCTGTGGGGAATATGACCACATCTTTGCTTGCTATTAATTCCTTAACCAAGTGCAGTATGGATTCTGGCTTCACCACCTGCTTGAACAGCCCTCTTGCCAAATGGGAAGAATTTTCTACTATCCTTCAACCAGTTGTATGTCTTGAACATTTTTCTTTTTTTCTTTTTACATCTCTGTTTGGATTGTTGACCTTGGCAAAGTCTCAGCCTCCTTTCCTTACATAGTTTCTATGTGAAATCCAGTTGGAAAAGCCCTGCAGCCTGAGGGCATGAATCTGTAGTTTCAAAGGAGTTCTGACCAATTTTGTTTTGTTTTGGTCTGTGTTCATTTGTTCCCTAAGACCAAGTAAAAATGATAGCAGCCATAGGTAGGAATTAGATCATTCCTTAGAGCTTTCATAGATCATTTCATTTGATCCTCATAAGACCTATTGAGGTGGGTTATTAGTATTGCAATTATAGACATGATTGAAATGCAAATATAATAGCACATTATTTGTTTTAGTTGAGAAACACCAGATTTGGTGACAGAGTTTCCTTTTCCATGAGCCATCATTTGGTGGGGCCATCCATCTTGTGACCCTTGTGGGTACTTTTATCTTTCTGCTGGAATGCTAACTTTTTTAGTTGGAGCAGGGTGGGTGGGATTAGAGTTAGAGTTGGATTCTTTGGGGGAGATTGTGAGGAGCTTGCCCCAACAGCCTTTTAATGCAGGACCAGTAGTTATTAAGTTCACAAACTTGTGCCTTAAGGACCAGTATGAATTAAACCTCAGAAGTTGGGGTTACCTCAATGTGATGAGCTCAGGTTTTTCCCCAGGATCTACTCTAAAATGATTACTATGAGAAAAAGTTGTCAAGCAGGTGTCATTGGAAGATATGTCCTTACATTTTGGTTCCAGAAGAACTATCGCTTTATTTTAACTGAATAAACTGACTTTAGTTCAACAAATATCTCTTGAGTTATATTTATTTATTTATTTTTGTCAGTAAGTTACTTTAACATGTGAGATTTTCCTTTGATTTTTAAAAAAAATATTCCCATAAACTTTTTTTTAAAATAGCAAATTCCCTTTTTCAAATGAAATAGTGCACCAAATCAATTTATGAAATAGACCAAACATTTTTTTTTATATAAACTCATTTTAGAAATTTGAATTAAAGTGTTTACTTTGAAAGTCAGTTGTCATTACATAGCCATCAATGAGGCTGGTTTGATCCCCACAAAAACCTGAAATGGGACCTAACTGACTTGGCTCAGTGGATAGAGCCTTGGCCTATGGACTGAAGGGTTCTGGGTTCAGTTCTTGTCAAGGGCATGTACCTTGGTTGCAGGCTTGATCCCCATTAGGGGGGTTGTGCAGGAGGCAGCTGATTGATGTTTCTCTATCATCAATGCTTCTATCTCTCTTATCCTTCTCCCTTCCTCTCTCTAAAATCATCAACATATTTAAAAAATAAACCCAAAACATGAAATGAGTTAAAAAGATTTCAGTCTTTAGTCCCGCATTCTAGTTATTTCTACATTTGCAAAAATTGTGTAGTAGTTTTTCTGTTTAACTTGTAATCTAAGGATATTTTATAAAGTTCAGGTGAGAAAATTCCTGTCATCACTCAGCATGTCAGAGTTCAGTTGTCATTGCACAGCCATGACCGCAGCAGGGGAGGGCCAGCATTCCTGACACTGCTTGAACTGTGTTGTGTGCTCACATGTGCCAGCTGATGTAGATGGGCTGGTGCAAGCCTGATTGAGCTTCAATAATTAGTGCTCATTGTAAGATGTGCTGGTTTATCTAGGGAGGTGGCACAAGTTCTTCAGTCTCCTGAAAAGTCAGTTACCAAGTGGAGGCCTCTAGCAATATTACAGTTTGATACATAACACATTTGAATATGGACTTCTTTTAAAACATAGTTTTTGTAGGTCCGCTTTTACTCTCTGGGCAATGGAGAGAATGGGGAAGTGGAGTGGGGGAAAGGAGGGTGGGGAGATGGGAATTAAGATATAATTAAGCAACCAGAACTGCTGTTGGCTCTTGATTATCTCTGGGTAGATTAATGCCAGTGAGAATGCTCACTTTGTGCAGATGAGTTGTATGACAGGAGTGTTGACTCAAATTCTGCTGCTACAGCTGATGCCTCCTACTTTAGTGAAAGAAGGGGGTGGGTTTGAAAGAGGGGGTGGGCGAACTTTGGAGCCTTGAGCCCTCTCCTCTCATTCTCCACCTCAGCCGTTCTGTTGAGTCTGGTTCTCTCTCTGGGTCTGTGATTGGAGGTGCTGTCTAATACTGAGTTCCTGCTCAGCTTGGCTCTTATTACACCTTAATCTCTGTGTAATAAGGTGCTGCACAAATGAGATTGATGAAATTGAGGGTTGATAGGATGTGTGACTCTTGAATTGAAGCACCTGCAAAACCCCCCAAGAATCCATGTAGCAGTTTAACTACAATTTCTCTGAATACGTTATGCAGACATGGGGCGTAGTCTTAACACTGCCTATTTCAGTCAGGACCATGGACTATGAATTTGCCTTTAAAATGTTTCCAGAATTAAATTTTGAATGACTTTGCCTTTTTTTAATTATTTTTTTAAGCATAAATAATTGAAAACCAATTGCACTGTAGCATGAATTTATGGAGTATATAATACTAAAACCTTTGGTTTCGAGCCAGTTGGAAAGTTCCCTTGTTTTTCTGGCTTATACCATGTATTTGAAAAATGTTGAACCAAGATGTTTTCAAGAAGTAAATTGCTATTGCTGTTGAATGTGACCCAGAAGAAACTGAGGAACAGTAGAACTAAAGATACTGTTTATTGATTTTATTTTTCAAATTCCTTTGGTAGGCATCTGAAGAAACCTCCCTCAGGGCATTGGAAAGTCTGATGACAGAGTTTTTTCATGACTGTACAACCAATGAGAGAAAACGTGAGATAGGTAAGTGAAGTGTTGAGTTGTAGTCATTTGTAATGGAAAAGCCCCAGTGGGGAGGGAGAGTTGGTAGCCTTGGCTTGTCACGCCTAACTGTTACTCCTTAAGTTCTTGTTCTTTTGGCTCTGGTTCTGCTGGCTGGTGGCCGGTGAGGTCTGCAAATCTAGCTGCAAGGGCTATGTATAGTTTGTGGAGCCTCCTGTAATCCATAGTGATGGATTTTATTTCCTTTGATAAAGTGTAGGGAAAACCCTCCAGCTTTGTTCTTGATTTTAGCAATGTTGAACTTTATAAGAAGGTTGGAAGTATTAACTTAAAAAAATTCAAAGAAGTGTCAAAATGAACATGTTTCTGGTGTGTAGATGTCTGATCTAAACCTCATCTAGTGCCCAGAGACCTTTAAACTGGTCTTGCCTCTGGGGGCTTCTTGCTTCTTTTTCTTTATCTCCATTTCCTTATCTCCGTTATCTCACTCATTCTGCAGGTTGTTATAAATGAAGACTTTAAACAACAGAGATGTAGGTATTTACCTCAGATCTTTAGGGAGCTTCAGTGCCTTTTAGAACCTCTTTGAATTTTATATTCATTGACATGAACAATATTCTTTAAAGCGTACTTTAAACTAGAAGTGTATACAGATTTCAGATCTCTGTCTCAGGGATATGTTGCTCTGTGGTCCTAGTATAATCCTTTTTCCTCCCAGGTCTCACTTAACCCCTGAATTTTTTTTTTTTTTTTTAAACATTTTATTGATTTTTTTTACAGAGAGTAAGAGAGAGGGACAGAGTCAGAAACATCGATGAGAGAGAGTCATCGATCAGCTGCCTCTTGCACAACCTCTACTGGGGATGTGCCCGCAACCAAGGTACATGCCCTTGACCAGAATCGAACCTGGGACCCTTCAGTCCGCAGTCCAATGCTCTATCCATTGAGCCAAACCGGTTTTGGCTAACCCCTGAATTTGAAAATGAAAAAATTTTCTCTATTCAAACTTAAAGGGTTTTTCCCTTGGGTGTTTGTACTGACCTTACATTCATTGCTTTTACCCCCTTGTAAGTCTTTACGTGGAATTCTGTGGAGGCCCATTTCTCTGTCCTGTTTGGCTTCCTAACACATGTTAAGTGTTATGGCTGATTATAATTGATTTCCACCTTTTGTCCAAAGCTGGATTGTGGTTTGGATTTCCAGGTTGCCAGTACTGCTTTGACTACAGCCCATTTCCCTTTGCAACCTTTGAGCATCACGCCAGCTCCTGGTAGATGCTAACTTTTTATCTCTTAATTTTGAACGTGGTGTTCTCTTTTGGGCTTGCGCTGCATGCCTTTCTTTTCTGAGGACTAGAGAACTAGAGCATTCATAAACAAGGGGGACTGACAGAAGCTGAGTCCAGTAGCTGAACAGGCATTTGTCTTGAAGGATTCACTTTGCTTGCTTCCCTAGATCCTCTCGTATTATTCATTGTTACTCTCCTCCTGCCTTCAGAGTGATCCCTGTTAGTTTTATACTATTAAAGTACTTTATAGTGAAAACATCACTGGCGATTTTTACCAAAGAAGGTAAAGGATCTTTCCCTTATACGTCTACTATAGTTCAGTACTAATTTCTCTTCAGTCCTGTTTTTCATTCATACTTGAATTGTTTTTCTATTAATTTTTGGTTTGCAAGGCAAATATTGCTCACCTTCAGCATTCATAAATTAAAAGTAGAACCTTTGGATCATGTTTGTATTCTAATCTTATTTAAATAAACAGATGCTATAAATGTCTGATTTAAATGAAAGCTAAGAGGAATCAGGGGTTTGGTTCTGTAGAGTGTCTTAGTTCAGCCTCAGTCTAGTGTGGATTGGAACCATTTGTTTCCTTTTTGATGTCTTAGAATGAACTAAAGGCTTTCCAGAGGTGTGTTATTAGTGCTCTAGAGAGAGAGCTGTCAGCGGGAACTTCAAGAGGCAAACCTGAAGCATCTTGGAGGAGTGGCGATGCTGTAGGGATCAGACTTAGTGGTTTAGTGGCAAGTTCTAGAACAGAGCCCTGAATTTCTCGTTTCCAGCCAGAGCTTATTCTCTTTGGTTTACTTGACCCCTGGGATTCATATAATTTTTTATTTGATTATAAGAACAGGACATCAGCTTACTTTTATTCAATTTTTAATGAGCCTGCCTTGATGCATTTAGCCTAAGTCCTAGGGTCTAGCAGAGCACCGTCTTTAGGATTAGAATGGGCTGCTGTGCTTCTTGCTTTTCCCAGGGCTTCCTAGAATCTCTCAGGGTTGTTGCCTTTTTCTGTTACATTTCATGACCAGTATAGCAGGTTAAGGTTACAGGGCAGCATGTGCAGACACATGGTGATAGACTTGTAATGCTTGTTGTCTGTGGTCCTGGATGATGCTACCGCAGCCTGAGGAGAAGGAAACCATTTCTAACTGATTTGATGTGGACAGGGCTGTCTTGGCATCTCCCATGATTGCTATTCTTTTTTACTTTTTTTGGATGGTAGTTAAAAATAAAACTAAACCAAATAAAGAGAATTAGCTATCTTGAATTCACTTACATTTTTGACTATTCTTTGTTTATAATTTTTTCCTACTTCTCTAGTCATTATTGTGTGTGTGTGTGTGTGTGTGTGTGTGTGTGTACAATGTGAGTGAGTGGTGGGGAGATATATACAGGGTATCCCCAATGTAGCTGATAGCTCAATTTTGAAAATGAAATATATGTTAGTAAACAATGCCCTTATAATTATTCAGAGACACCATAGATATATCTCCTGCCCCAGAGGAAACATGTTAGCAATTAGCCATCATTTATAAGGTCAAATGGTCTTACCTAATAATAGACAAACGTGGCCATACCTCTGCTATGCCCACCAGCCAATCAGGAGAGATATGCAAATCAACCAAACAAAAATGGTAGTTAATTTGCATACACAGGTGCCCCCAGCTCCTCTCAGGGCCTCTGGGCAGAGTGGGAAGGCGGGGTTGGAGTGGAAAGAGGTGGCTCTGGGGCTGGAGTAGAAAGATGGTGCTGGCAGTCAGGGAAAGGAAGGCCCATTCTAGCACAAATCTCCGTGCATTGGGCTTCTAGTTCTTTTATAACTGTCTGTCCACACATTAGACTAAGTAAGACCTTTAACAATGAAAAAAGCGCCCATCGCAAGCTTACTGACTTTAAAATGCCTGAATACACTGTCAGTGCCCATGGCCATCTAAGAGTTGGAAGACTATGGTCTGTCCTTTCTGTGTTGAAAAATAAGCTGGATTTTGTAGTTGGTTTTAACAACATTAACATATATGGAGGGTGGCACGTTTTTAAAAAATAAGACAGCCCTACCTTGTATTAATTTTATATATTTTTATAGCCTTCTTTTGTTGCTATTTAACTTTTCCAGAGGAGCTTCTTAATAACTTTGCCCAGCAAGTAGGAGCCTGGAGATTCTGCCTGTACTTTCTCTCCAGCACTAGGAATGACTATGTAATGATGTACAGTTTGACGGTTTTTGAGGTAAGTTGTCAGATAAATCTATATTGTTCTGAAAAGTATTTGTAGTCACATTGCCATGTCATTGGCACAGGACTTTAGCTTTGATATACAGATGGCTGGGAAACAGGGTAACTTCACTCAGGGGCTTCTCCACTTGTTGCCTTTAGCAAGATGTCTGGTGTGCTGGGGGCACGTTTCTGTCTTTGACACCAGAAAGGTAAGATGGGGTCAGGCAGCTAGGTCCTTTGTGGTAGAATATAACTTTTCCTTCCACGTTAACATTAAAAAAATATATTGTTATTGATTTCAGAGAGGAAGGGAGAGGGAGAGAGAGATACAAACATCAATGGTGAGAGAGAATCACTGATTGGCTGCCTTCTGTATGACCCTACTGGAGATTATGCCTGCAATCTGGGCATGTGAATCAAACCCAGGACCCTTCAGTCCACGGAGCCAAATTGGTTAGGGCACCATATTATCATTTAGAAAAAGATAATTAAAGTTTGGGAGGAGAATGATACCCAGAATATTCTCATCCTAAGCAAAAACGTTTTCTTTCTTTTTTTGTAAAAATACATTTTATTGATTTTTATTTATTTATTTTTTTTTACAGAGAAAAAGGGAGAGGGATAGAGAGCTAGAAACATTGATGAGAGAGAAACATTGACCAGCTGCCTCTTGTACACCGCCTATTGGAGATGTGCCCGCAACCAGTGTACATGCCCTTTACCGGAATTGAACCTGGGATCCTTGAGTCTGCAGGCTGACGCTTATCCACTGAGCCAAACCGGTTTTGGCCTAAGCACAAACATTTTCATTTTAATCAATTCGCTTCCCATTTTTGTCTTCCTGCATACACTTAAAAAAACACTAATTATAATAATCATATTGCTCATGCCACTGTATTCTGCTCCCCGCCTTGTTTTTATATTATGTTCCTGTAAGTGCTTGTACCAATGTTCACCAAGCCATTCTTCTGTTTTTAAACATAAGTTGTTTCTGCCATTATTTTGTGGTGGCCGTTAGAGACAGTGATGTAATAGACAGTTTTTACACACACAGCTTTTTTATTTCCATTGAATTATTTAGCAGATCTTTCCAGGAATGGGATTGATGTTTTATAGGATTTGAATATTTTTATCACTCTTATTGCAACATTGCATTGCTCCACATCTTTGTTTAGAATCAGGGTTGCTTATTTAAGGAGATATAGCTAACCATTGGATGAAAACCAGTTATTTTTATGTATAGATGGCTAACTTTAGGATGTATATTTGTTTTTCAGAATCTGATCAATAAAATGTGGCTTGGGGTCCCATCTCAGGATAAGATGGAAATCCGTAGCTGCCTACCCAAACTCCTTTTGGCTCACCACAAAACCTTACCTTACTTTGTCCGGAACAAGCTCTGCAAAGTTATTGTTGATATTGGCCGTCAGGATTGGCCCATGTTCTATCATGACTTTTTTACCAACATTTTACAGGTAAGGACGTAATCTGAGGAAATTTTATCTTGTAAATACTTTGTTTGTAGAAGTGATTATTTCCTTTCTTGAAGAGGAGTTTTAAGATGAGCAAAATTTTGGAGCTGCAGTAGTGATAAATTCACTTAATTTTGTATTCTTGAGACATGTTCTACCTTTGTGCAGTGAAGAGAGGGTGTGGGAGACCCAATTGCTTTGTTAATCTCTTGTGAAATTTTGTTCAGCAAATATTTGAAAGCCTGTTAGGTACTGTGTCAGGTGTTGGAATGCAAGGATGAGGCCTTCAGTTGCCATAATTTGGAAGGGAGATAGCTGTGCTAACAATAGTTATCCAACAGCATGGCAGTTACTGTAGTGAAAGTATGTGCAGAGTGCAGAGGCATAGCATTTAGACTCAAGGTGCTGAGTAGTTTCCGTGTTGCTGGTGATGCGATGAGAGGTAATGTAATGCTTCAGCGTAAGAGGCTAGATTGATGGACAGGGGGCAGACCAGGACGGGAATGGCTTAGTGACGAGTTTGGAGAAGAGAGAAAACGGCACATTTTTATGTTGGAGGGATACCATCAGCAATCATGTGGAATGTGGATTGCAGAGTGGCTGCAGCGAAGGTGGCCCGTAAGGCTGCTGTTGGTGAGGTCTGAGTGAGACAAGGAGAATCGGAGCCAAGCAGAGGCCTGCCTGGTGGAAAGAGGCGAGGCAGTTAGGAGAACGGAGTCAAGAAGTTTTGGTCAGTGGGTGGTGAGGGTCGAGGAAGGGAGGAATCAAGGATGTTTTTCAGATTTTAGGCTTAAGTAGCAAATTTTCCAGGCCAGGGATGAAGGATGAAGGAATGAATTTTGATAGATGGTAAGTTTATTTTTGCAGAAAATACGCTTAAAATTTGTGTGTTCCTTATGTATATATCTTGTGAAGCATTGGTCATTCCCTTTGGGCTGGCATATTCTCTGATATATATATTAGAGACCCGATGGATCTGGGGTTCAGGAAAGATGTCTTACTACATACATGTCAGGATTGGAAGTCATCAGGGAATACTAGAGGGGACCTAAGCCAAGAGAGATGATATTCATCTGAATCATGTGATACAGCTGGAAACAATATTTATTTAAAGTGTATTTTTACTGATTTCAGAGAGCAAGAGAGAGGAATAGAGGGATAGAAACATTAATGATGAGAGAGAGTCATTGATTGTCTGCCTTCCGTACGCCCCCTATTAGGGATTGAGCCTATGACCTGGGCATATTATTGTACTCTTCCCCTAACTTCATTGAGCCTATGACCTGGCCATGTGCCCTTAACTGGTATCGAACCTGGGACCTTTTTGAGTCCGCAGGCCGATGCTCCATCCACTGAACCAAACCGGCAAGGGCTAATTTGTACTTCTTAATCCCCTTCATCTTTTCCACCCTACTCCTGCCCCGACCTCTCTCCCATCTGGCAACTATCAAAATGGTCTCTGTATCTGAGTTTGTTTCTTTGTTTATTTTGTTGTTATTTTACATTCATTTGTGGAAAGACATGTATTTATTTCCATTTTATTGATCTTTTTTATCATATTTTTTAATCTTTTTTTTCTTATTCTTCTTCTTAAAGAATTCCCTTTAACATTTCATATTAATACTGGTTTGGTGGTGATTGACTCCCTTAGCTCTTTTTTTTTGTCTGGGAAGATATTTATCTGTCATTGATTCTAAATGATAGTTTTGCTGAGTAGAGTAACCTTGGTTATAAGTCCTTGCTTTTCATCACTTGGAGTATTTCTTGCAATTCCCCTTTGTTTGCAAAGTTTCTGTTGAGAAATTAGCTGATTAGAATTATGGGAGCTTTCTTGTAGGTAACTGTTCTGCTCTTGCTGCTTTTAATTCTCTTAAAAAAGTTTTTAATCCTCTCCCGAGGATATCTTTTCCTCATTGATTTTTAGAGATCGTGAAAGGGAGGGAGGGGAAGAGAAAAAAAAAGAGAGATGGAGAGGAAGAGGGAAGGAGAGAGAGAGTGACAGACAGAGAGAGAGAAAGAGAGAGAAACATCGATGTGAGAGAGACACATCAATTGGTTGCCTCTCACATGCACCCCAACCATGGTCAGGGAGTGAACTTGTAACCCAGATTTGTGCCCCTGACCAGGAATTAAACCATGACCCTTTGGTTTGCATGGGCCAACACTCTAACCACTGAACAACAACAGCCAGAACAAGATACCCCTTTTTTGCATTTTAATTATAATGTATCTTGGAATGGGCATGTTTGGGTACAACTTGTTTGGGATGCTCTGCACTTCCTAGACTTTTATATCTATTTTCTTTTGTCATTTTTAAAAATAGGTTTTCAATTTCTTGCCCTCTCTCTTCTTCTTCTGGCACGCCTATGATGTGAATGTTGGTATTCTTGAAATTGTTCCAGAGACTCCTTATACTATCTTCAGGTTTTTAGATTTTGTTTTCTTTTTGCTGTTCTGATTAGTTGTTTTTTGCTTCCTTGTATTTCAACTTGCTGATTTGATTCTTGGTTTCATCTGCTCTATTGTCAATTTCCTGTAACTTATTCTTAATTTCAGTTAGTGTATCCTTCATTTGACTGGTCCTTTTTTATGGTTTCCATGTCCTTTTTTATGCTATTGAAGTTCTAAGTTCATGTACTCTTCCCCTAACTTCATTGAGCATCAGAGGAACAGTGACCTCTGCCAGCTCTTGTTTCTGGGGGAAAACTGTCTCCCTAGCTTTTGCCTGATGCTAGACACTTCAGTTCCTCCCCTTATGTCCCGGGTGTCTTTTGAGCTGCTGTCCTAGTGCTGGAGTGCAGAAAGTGTAAGTTTTAGTAAGTCCATGTGCAGGCCCTTTAAGAGGAACTGCCTGGGACTCCAGCAGCCTCTATCTCAGTCTTAATTTCCCCTGTTTGTTTTTTTTACAGCTAGACGTTAGGGTTACTTCTCTTCCCAGCACTAGAAGCCTAGACCTGCTGTTGGGCTGGGACCCCTCGCTCCACAGCTGAGATAGCCCTTCTGATTTTTATCCACCACATGTTATGTATGACCAGCCCAGCCCATTCTATGTCTCCATCCGTTTTCCTACCAGTCTTGATGTGCCTTTTTCTTTGTATCCTTAGTTGTAGGACTTCCATTCAGCTAGATTTCAGGTGGTTCTGAATGAAAATTGTTCTGTAGTTTAGTTGTAATTTTGATATGGTTGTGGGAGGATGCCAATACCGGAAGTCTGCCCTAAATTTCTTGAAGTAGAGAATATACATTCTATCTGGGTGCAGTTTATCCTGTCCTTCTCTTCACTAGGGCTTATATTTTGTTGATTGAGTAAAGTATATATCAGAGCATGAACTACATTTAAAGTTTATTACGATTTGAGAAAATGGTCAAGTATTCTTTAAGTTGTTTGTTTTTTTATAGATTGTAGCATGTAGCCAAACAGAGAATTTTAGTGGCAACTCATTTGTTTTTACCAATTCTGGAAATTAAATAAATGCAATAGTAATGCTTTGAATTGATATAAGTAGTGTTATGCTATTGAAGGTGTACCTTTTTTTGTTTCATGTTTAAGGAAAATTTATAATGGTACAGTGGATTGGAGTGGTAGGTGCTAGAAAAAGTGATTTAATTTGCTGCATAGTATTTGTGAAATCATACCTGTATTCATAGTGTAATGATGTATATGCAATGTTTCTGCCTGCCACGTGTTTAATCTTGAACTTGCATGAAGCATACAAAGAATGTAAAGTTGACTTCATACTTGAATATTAAAAATGTATCACAAGTTGGTGTATGTATGTGTTAATAACTAATAAATTTGGACGAAGTAACCAAGGCTGTATTTAAAATTTATAGACATGTATAAAAATCATCATGGTAGGTATAAAGGAGTATTGTCATTTTTAAGTTTATGGTATTAGCATTTTTTATTTAAGATGAAAATATATTTTGAATGGTTAAAAAAAAAAAAGACATGGGTGTGCTTTTAAGTCATTTTTCTAAAGCGTTGATTTAGCTCTGGCTGGTTTGGCTCAGTGGATGGAGCATCAGCCTGCGGACTGAAGGGTCTCGGGTTTGGTTCTGGTCAAGGGCATGTACCTTGGTTGCGGGCACATCCCTAGTGGAAAGTGTGCAGGGGGCGGCTGATCAATGTTTCTCTGTAATCGATGTTTCTAACTTTCTATCCCTCGCCCTTCCTCTCTGAAAAAATCAACAAAATATATTAAAAAAAAATAAAGCATTGATTTATGCAACCTATTTATGTGTGATTCACAGGCGTACTTTACAGGTTTATTATTCCTCAGGCCTTAAACAGTCTGCTCAGAACTTACCTTTTTCTGGCAGTTGATCCAGTCCCCTGTGACAACCCCCCTTGGACTGATCATGTTGAAAACAACATCAGAAGAGCTGGCTTGTCCCCGTGAGGACCTCAGTGTGGCTCGGAAGGAGGAGCTGCGGAAGCTGCTGCTGGAACAGGTGCAGGCAGTGCTTGGCCTCCTGACAGGTGAGCACGGGGGTGTCAGAAGCCAAAGGCCGGCCTTCAGATGAGCAGAGCTCAGGCCCCAGCCCTTAGTACACGTATGTGAGCAGTTGTTTTAATTGTTACTGAATCTGAGAATCAAAACAGAAAGAAGGTGGTGCTATAGTCCCAGCACCAGTCCGATGTCTAGCACTTGGTAGACTCAAAAAATGTTTCTAACCTACTTTTCTAAAGTCTTCCATTAATTGGTGCTCACTCTTACTGCGATTAACGAGGTATAGACCAGCTCATCGGAATGGGATTGAAATGCTGTTACTTTACCCTAAGTAAAGTGGATGGTGAACACTTTATTGGAAATAGTTTGTACTTAAAATCAGGAGAAGCTGGAGGGATAGGAAGATAGAAAATTTCAAGTTTTGTGTGGGAGAAGTGAGCCAGACAAGGTTTGTAACAGCACCATGTGTGCTGGGTTGTATTTGTGTGTAGCATTTTCTTTGCCATCTTTTCTGTTTTATTGGAGCCCCATGACAATGTGTGAAGAGTAAGAATAAACAGAAAGCAAATCGAAGAATGAGACAGAGCGAGGAAGAGAGTGGAGCACTGAGTCAGGGGGTGTGACCGCTGTGCAGCAGTGGGCCCTGCTGGGTAGGAGGCGCAGGACAGCTTGGCTGAGAGGTGCCAGGAGCCGGGGCTTGTTTGGGAATGAGGTGTTCTTATCTTCATCTTCTCTGCCCAGGTTTCTTGGATGTCTAGGAACCTTTTCTTCAGTATGTGTTACAAAGGTGCTTAGCATGCAGTGGGCACTTAAAGTTGCTTATAAGAATGCCTGGTCAAAAGTAATCTTGTTATTTGCCCACATCCCTCCCCAGATTCCTAGGCAGAAACCAAATCCTCAGAGCTTTCATTCAAAGCACTTATTGACATCCCTGACTAAATGTTAAATTTCTAGAGTTAGGCTCTGTCTGATACCTTTACGTTCTACTTTGTGTAGCTGTCACACTACCCTGTTTCCCCGAAAATAAGACAGTGTCTTATATTAATTCTTTCTCCCAAAGTTGCGCTAGGTCTTATTTTCGGAGGATGTCTTATTTTCGGGGAAAGACAGTATATGGGACATCCCAGAACATTAACAATACTTTTTCCCTTAACCCTCTGTCTATCTCTATGGATTTTTCTAATTGGACTTTTCATAAAAATGGAATCATACAATATGTGACCTTTTGTGTCTGGCTTTTTTTTACTTAGCATAATATTTTCAAAGGTTATCCATCCCATAATATTAAATATTTTGGAAATAAATATTTTCAGAAACTTTTGTGATCATAATAGCTACCAGGTTCTATAAGGAGAGACAAAGAGGAATAAAACACCGTCCCTGCCCTCCCAGTAATGTTTACTTCATTAGGGGAGAAAGACCTTTAAAAGACGGCAGTAAGAGTTAGAGTGGAGGCGTGTTTTTCATGCAGGAGAAACCTAACAGACAGAAGGATTTCTTGAAGGAGATGAACTGAGTGGAATTCAGAGAGGTAGCTGTTAGTCCGGTGTAAAGGTCAAGTTGGGATTCTGGGGGAGGGAGCAGGTCATGTGGAAGGAACAGCAAGTAGTTCAGCATGATGAAGCCTGTGTTGCGGTGGGGGTGAGGCAGGATGGGAGAACAGAGGCCAGATGCTGAGATGGGGTTTGCTGGGTGAGGAAGAGAAGAGGAGGCAGGCTTGTGGGGGTAAGGTAAAGTGAGTGGAATATCCAGGTGGCGCTATGCAAGAAGTAGACATACGGTTGAGAGGGATGTTTAGACATTGATGTTTGATAAAAGATACCAATAAGTTGTTTTTCTAAATCTGATTTGCATATGTTGAACTTTGTCTCTCTCTTAAACTCAGTTTCCTTTTCTTGGTATAGGTATCTTGGAGTCTGTCTGGGACAAACACAGCGTTACTGCTGCCACCCCGCCACCATCCCCAACCTCAGGAGAAAGTGGTATGGTCTGCCCCCCACACATGGTGTTCTTTTTAAATGCAGTGGTGGGTCTCAGCAGGGTAGCAATTGCTCATTTATGCCAGACCCAGATGCTGACTTTCATTAGTCTATTTTTGTCCTTTTTGTCCATGTTTTCTGAGTAGCTGTCTTAGTCCTCTTAAGTGCTCACTCGTACATTCTTTCTAATACACTGCTTAGAACAACATATTTTGTTTCTTCCTTTCCCATCAGGAAGATGGCACCTTTGATCTTCTTTCACCCACTTCCATCCCCTTTAGCTTATATCTCTGATCCTCCTGGTTTGTTTTTCCCCTTTGCTCAGTGTCATGGCTGTGTTGCTCACGCTGAGGTTGGTATGAGCCCTTGGGGCTTGGTAGGCCGGCTTTGTAGTTCTGCAGGGGTTGCTGCTGTGGGAGGTGGCAGAGGGTGGAGGAGGGGACAGGGGTACATGGAGCGCTTTCTCCCCCCCCCCCGGGGGGGGGGGGCTCCTTAAGGCCGGTGTGCAGTAATCAGCTTTGACTTTACGTTAGGTCAGAATGGTTTGGTAAAGTGGTCATTAGTTTACTGTAATTAGTGTCTACAGTTACACTAATTATCTGTTTGAAAAGTCTGGTTGCAGTTCACCTAAAAATGGCTACTTTCAAGGATGGGCAGAAAGAGGAAATTGTGTCTGAGCTGAACTTTTAGTTTCTAAATGCTTTTGTTTACACTCAGTAATCACAAATGCTTTTCAAGTAGAGTACATCCTGTAATTGGCACATATTTCTTCCTCTACTGTAAAGGTTGATGTGGCTAGTGAGAAATATTTCCACATCTTTCTCCTGTACCCCAAGGAAATGTGCTGTTGAAATCAGACATCTCTAAGCCCGTGCTGTTTCATGTAACCTTTTGTTAATATGTGGAAGTTGAAATTCTTGCACTTACTAGAGAATTGAAAATACATCATGAAATTTTGGGGACTGTTCATAGTTTATTGGCCTGTGTGGCTCAGTTGATTGGAGCGTCGTTGATAGTAGGTTCAATTCCTGGTCAAGGCACATATACAGGCTGTGGGTTCCATCCCTGGTTGGGGCGCATGCAGGAGGCAGCCCAACTGATTGATGTTTCCCTCCCTCCCTTCACTCCTTTCTTCCTCTTTCTAAAACCAATAAAAAAATAAAAAATAAATAAACACTAAAAATATGCCCTGCTCAGTTTGACTCAGTGGTTACAGCATTGGCCCACAGGCCGAAGGATTGTGGGTTCGATTATAGGTCAAGGGCACCCACCTTAGTTGCAAGTTCAATCCCTACCTCCAGTCAGGGCAAATGTGGGAGGCAACCAGTTGATGTGTCTCTCTCATATAGATGTTTCTATGTTTCTCTCTTTCCCTTTCTTCTCCCCTCTCATTCTCCTTCTCCCCATTCCCTCCCTTTCACTCTCTCTGAAAAATCAATGGAAAAAATATTCTCAATGAGAATTTTTAAAAAGTAAAAAAAATATGTTTAGAGTAATTTATCATACTTTTTAGGTTAAAATCTATTAAAGAGGTCTAGAGTATATTAAAAGCCCACAGAAAATTGAACTTTATTTGTACTTGGTGCAAACCTTCATTTTCAAGGTGAATATTTGAAGTGACTTAGCAGATTTATATTTTGCAATATTTGAATGATTGAAGAAAAAAATTGCAAATGATCCAGAGATTTGATTTTATGAATATACTCCTTGGAGAGTGTGCTGCAATTTAGCTAATCTTAAAATGTGCCATTTTATTTAAATTATAGTTTGCAAAGATTAGTTCTTTTGAATTAGATTTGTTTTTAGATAGTTGAATCCTAGCTTACTTACCATCCAGTTAAAGTTAGCAGCATCAGGCATATTCCAGAAAAACTTGTTTTTCTGTGATGCTTTTCCCCTACCAAAATATTTGTGTTTTAGTTGGCTTTGTTCAGGTACATTCCAAGCTAATAACTCAGTTTATACTTTGATAGACTTATTTTCCTAGAGCCCAGGTTGGGGAATATAAAATAATATAAATAAAAAATAATGCTTGCTCTTTTATGTGTTGCCTAGGTTTTGTGTATAAGGTTAGGGAAAATAAAATATGAACTAATAAAATATGAACTAATTTGACATTTCCATATAAACAAAACCTAAAAACACGGTGTTTATTTCTTGACAGTTGTCTCTTAGACATTATTAAAAAAATTTTGAAATCTTTTAGTATTTGAGAAAAAGCAAAATAAATTGAGACTGGGAGGAGGGGGCGGGCATTGCTAAGGAATTAAGTAAAGCTTTTAAGATGGTATGCTTTCCCTTTAAAAAATAGAATTACACATTTACCTGTTACTCTTTGTGGCAGCTTCAAGGGAAGTAATTAGATTTTGCCCTATTATTTGGACAACACTGGTGATTTAATCAACATTTTTTTCATTGCTTTCCCTCAACTACCTTTATGCACTTAAGATACCAAGTTAAGCAGTAAAATTTCTAGAAAATTGTTTAGCTTTCTTGACCATAAGCTTAGTTTTTTTTTTGTAGGAAATTTATTCTGAGAGAAGGTAGGACCCAGTGAGTATCCAAGTAACTTAAAACACACCCCATCAATAGTCTCTGATGGACCCTGCCCTGCCAGCCCTGGTCAGTCTTAGCTCCGTGGTCTTTGGTCTCTTTTCTCATAAACTGTCTTGTAAAGATGTTTTCTGTCTGATCACTTTCAAAGAACTAAACCTAGGACTAGTTCTTTTTTTTTTAAATTTTTTTATTTTATTACTATTATTTTTTTTATTGGGACTAGTTCGTATAGCAGCTATTGGAACAGTTGATAGTGTGTGTGGTTTATTTTTCAGAATAGTTCCCCAAATTGTTGCCTTATCTCCTAAACTCTTTTTACAAGGCCAGATGTAGATGTGAAGTAGATGATGGTTTTATGTTTAGTTTACAAACAAGGAAGTTGGGGCCCTACTGGGGTCTAGCCTGCAACCCAGGCATGTGCCCTGATCAGAATTGAACCTGGGATCCTTCAGTTCACAGGCCGACACTCTAACCACTGAGCAATATTTTTTATTTTTAATAAAAACAAATTTTAGTTGGCATTTAACAGAGGTATTAAATGGGAGGAATTGCCCACCTTGAGATGTTTTTTCCACAAGGAATATTAGTAAATGATACTTTTTAAAAATAAAGATAGTTTTATTGATTTCAGAGAGGAAGGGAGAGGAGAGAGAGAGATAGAAACATAAGTGATTTGAGAGAATCACCAATTGGCTGCCTCCTGTACACCCTCTACTGGAGCTTGAGCCCACAACCCACTCATGTGCCCTCGACCGGAACTGAAACCAGGACCCTTCAGTCCAAGGGCCAACACTACTTACTGAGGCAGACCAGCTAGGGCAAAAAGATACTTTTAAGGTTAAGAAAAATAGATTTGCCTGGCTGGTCCAGTACACCAAAAGGTTGGTGTTCAGTTCCCAGTCAGGGCACAAAAACTAGTTTCTTAGTACATGTTTTAATTTTAGACCGTATATTTAGACTTGCTTATGAAAGATGAGAAAGTTAGTGCACCCTTCTGTAACTCCTGTGTTTGTTTAGTCTTGATTCTATATTTAATTCAATGTTTGCCTTAGTCACTTTGTCATAGCTTCTCAATTCCTTAATTCTTTACTTTTATTTATCACTTTATTTGCAAGTCTCCATTGTTCAGTATCCTCAAGGAGAATTTATGGGCAATATATTTATTATCTGAGTCTTTACATGTTTGAGGAAATGTCACCTTCCTTTATACTCAGAGGAGAACTTTAGGTTAAGTCATTCTTTGCCCCAGAATGTGGAGACGCTGCATCGCTGTTTTCTGGCTGTTTTCTGTGTATCACTGCGGAGGAGTCTGAATCCGGTGTTTTCTTCTTTGTATATGAGTTTCTTCTGCCTACATTTCTTCCTTAATCCTAACGTTTTTAGTATTGATTATTCTTTATCGCTTTTGGGAAGGGCAGAATAAGTCCTTTTATTTTATGTACTCACATCTTCGAGAAACTATTCTTCTTATAGCTTTGAATACTTCTCTTCTTTTGTCTTTTCTAAAATCATTTTATAACTCCCCCTCATTTCATTTTACATGATTTTATTAGTCCAGTGCTCCTCAAAAATTAAGCAAGTGTAAGAATCACCTAGAGAGCTTGTACGGGGCTCTATTCCTTCTGGTTCTATAATACATTAGTAGGTGTGTGTACGGTAGCGCCTGACAATTGGCACTTTCTGACAAGTCCCCAGAGATGCTGATGGTGCAGGTCCACAGACCTACCTTGCCTAGCCGAGTAATTCTCAAATGTTTGGTCTCTGGGCCCCTTTACTTTTTTTTTTTTTTTTTAATTGAGATATAATTGGTATCTATAACGTTGTTAGTTTTAGGTGTACAACATAGTGATTTGATATTGTGAAATGATCACCATAGTAAATTAACATCCATAATTTTTTTGAGACGAGAACTTTAAGATCTCTCTTAGCAACTTTTGCATAGGCATACAGTGTTGCCAGCTGTGATCACCTGATCACCATCCTCAGGACTCATTTCTCTCTTAACTGGAAGCTTATACCTCTTGGCTTCTTTTACCCAACTTTCCCACCCTAACCCAGGACTCCTTTACTCTTAACATTATTGAGGCCCTCAGAAAGCTTTGTGAGTTATATCTATTGATACTAAAAAAGAAAACTTACAAATACTTATCAATTCATTTAAAAATAACTGATAAACTCATTGTTTATAAAGCTGATTCCAGAGCAAATAAAAACATTTACTGAGAAGAGCAGCATTATTTTAAATACTCATTGGTCCCTGGACCAAACTTTGAGAACTCCTGATTTAAAGTAATGCTTGCTTTTGTTTGTTGGTTTGCTTGTTTGTTTGAAGAATTACTTGAATTGTTTTGTAAGAGATTTGATAATGTAGATTTTAAAAGCCTTTTGTATTTTCAGGTGACTTACTGAGTAACCTGTTGCAGAGTCCTAGTTCAGCCAAACTGTTGAATCAGCCAATCCCCATTCTTGATGTGGAGAGTGAGTATATCTGTTCCCTGGCCTTGGAGTGCCTGGCCCATCTCTTCAGTTGGATTCCTCTATCTGCCAGCATCACCCCATCCCTCCTTACTACCATCTTCCACTTTGCGCGCTTTGGCTGTGACATCCGAGCCAGAAAGATGGCATCAGTTAATGGCAGCAGTCAGAACTGTGTGTTGGGTCAGGAACGCGGCCGGCTTGGGGTCCTGGCCATGTCCTGCATCAATGAACTCATGTCCAAGAACTGTGTGCCTATGGAATTTGAGGAGTACTTACTGCGCATGTTCCAGCAGACTTTCTACCTCCTGCAGAAAATCACCAAGGATAACAATGCCCACACGGTCAAGAGCAGGCTAGAAGAACTTGATGAGAGGTAATGAAAACAGGTGTGATGTCAGCGTACCCTGAGAGAGGGCCTTGGCTGGTTATCGCAGTGTTTTGCATGGTGTTTGTAATCCTCTTTGGTTTCAGAATTTTGGGCTCCTGGTCAGGACAGAAAGGTAGGTGTGTACCAGTAAATCTAGGCTTAGCTGGAAGGGCTTAGAGTGGTTAAGGGAAATGAGGTGAGTTTGAAAAGTGATTGTGAATTGTGTAGGCTTGTTGTCTTTCCCCCCCATCCACCTCCTGTCCTCCCTTCCACCCGTCTTCTCCCTCCCCCCCTCACTATTTGCCTGCAGGTCTGAGGTGGTGCAGGAACCGAGACTGCTGCTCATGCGTAGCCAAGGACAGGAGAGGAGGTTCGTGGAGGTACAGGAGTTACAATCAGCTTTCTCACTTGGTGTGGCTTGTCAGTTTTTACTGTTTGACTTTTCCCAAGTGAACATCAGCCAGTGTATAGGAATGCTGTCATATTGTCATTTTACAGATGACAAGTTTTCATGAAAGAAAGGAGAGATGTTAATGTGGGCACAGGCTAATGTGGGCATACCTGTGTATGTTTGTTATTGTCCTTTGACTGGAGTCTAAAATGATCTAGCCTTTCCTAAGTGCCTAAAAGAGGCTGCCATCACAGTACTCTGAGGCATGGTCTCTTTTATTTCCCTTGGAGATGATGTAATTTAACTGTCTTACAACTTTCATTAATATGCTATTGGGGGATGAAAACAAGAGGGAAAATTAGAGCTTATGTTAACAGCATCATGTTTACTGTCCAGAAACGTCCAAGCAGATACATTGTGTTGAATTAGTAAATATGTATAGGTTGCCTGGCAGCCAAAGTTAATATTTTAATCAATTTTCCTTGGCTTGTTTTTTATTATTAAGCTATTCAGAGTTAATCCATTTCCTTTTCCTAGAATAAATAACAATACAAAGTGCCTAAAGTTATAACAATTTTAGTGCTTTTTAAATTAAGCAATTTTAATAAAGTTTTTCTTAAGTTAAAAAATTTGGTTTGCTTCACTGTAAGCAAACTTTGTGTAAAATTTCTCTGTTTAATCACAGAAAAATTCATAAAATGGTATGGTAATATGTTTTATTTATTATTTGGAAATAGCTTTGTATATAAATTCAAAGGTATCAGTATTCAAACACTATTTTATATTTTTTCTAGCTTGTGTTAAGAAAGGCTGTATTTCCATATGTTAAAATCTAACTGCTTGAATCAAGCATAGAATATCAGTTATTTTGACTTTTACTTGTAGCATAATGTTTGTTACGGCTTATCTTCGGGTGGTATAGAAATGTCATGATTATCTTCGTACTGATTTTGTTACATGTAACTTTTATGCTCTTGGTTTTATATTTTAATTCTATGCTTCCTATTGCCCTGTGAAAGCTGAGAGGTGCCTGGAAGCAGAAAGGTGACATAAACAATACTGTGTGCTTGCTTCCTGGCTCTCGGGTCCCTACTACTAATTCTAAACAGCTAAGTCCATTCTCGTTGTTTAGGTGCTACTTAACCAGGTCCTTTGCTTCTCTTTCTCCACTGCCTTTTCCCCTAACTTTCTACTGCTCATTAGCACCTGTACCAGAAGGTGGGCAAAGGAAAGAAAATGAGGTGAAATAAAATTTGTAGTTTTAGCAGCTGAACAGCCTTGTTTGTATTCTGTAAAAATTTGGGTTGGTGATTAAAATAAAATTGAGATTGTGTGATATTTTACCCATGACTTCTCTTTATTCTTTTACGGGTGCTAGGGAATTGAGTGCATCTTTCTAAAGATCAGTAAACAGGTTGGTGACTTTGAAAATCCCTGTGAAAATAAAATGTAATAAGCAGAGCAAGGAATGAGTTCCTGCTCATTCAGGATTATTGATTGAAGGCATCAGAGAGAAGTCTCTTTGTCCTTTTCGAGCCCTTGAAACAGTTGATTTCAGTGCCTTACTGTTTTCCAAGAATTTGGCACTGTGATCCTTATCAAACAAATTAATGTTATTAGAGCTACAAAGAAATTTACATATGTGTGCAGTCAGACCAGTGGGCCATCCTCAGGGCAAATAGGTCCCAAGAACAATATGGGGCATTTTATTTATGGCCTAATTTTGCTCCTCTGAGACTAAGTTGTCTTCTCCCCTTTTATTATTTCATATATCTGTGCTTTTTAAAAATAGATTTTTTCAGTTAGGAGTTTTGGAATTGGTTTTAGCCATTATTTAATTTTTGGCTAAGGCCTGCTATGTCTCTATCTTTTTTGTTATTGGTCTCTGAAATGGGATTTATAGAGCTATGTCCATCTCATTTTCTAATCACCTTTTGGTATTTAGGGGCTCACAATGACAGTTTCTGAGATGTGAGAGTGGTGAAGTGCCGTGTGTTTAATAACAAAATCTCTTATCCTTGCAGCTGTGACCCACACTCTTCTGTGAAATGATTTTGGGAAAACAGATGATTGGGGATTCACTGTCATGTGAAAAGAGAGCACTGATTTGGGAGTGGATGGTGGTCCCATTCTGCCATGAGCTGGCTGAGTAACCTTGGGCGATCACTTTATCTCTCCAGCTTCTGTAAAATGAAGCATCAGATGAAATTGTCCGAGGCTTTTCCAGCTCTGACAGCCTTCTGCCCTTGTTTTGGAAATCACTTTGGAGTGGATTGGGATGTGCTGTGTTTAATTTGCTCCTGGTGCCAATTAAACACAGACAGGCTTGACCCTATCTTACCTGGATGCCATGTCTTTTGTGTAGCCTTGTTTTGGTTTTCAGCACATTCATTTTAATGTTTTGGCCTCTTACCAAAGAAAACCACTCTTCCAGACTTGCCAGGTTGAAATGACACACATGATCTGCCCATTGACTTTTTAGAATCATTTCCTTTCACTTTATTTGGGCCATAACACTAACGAGTCAGAAAATGTGAGAGCACTAGCTTAAACGATGCTTCCTAGATGGTGTTTGAGGATTAAAGTTGCTTTTCTGCTATGTTTCAGGTGGTAATGGAATGAAGGGTTGCCTGACCTGTAGGTAATTGTTGTAGGCCTTTATATTTTTAACTGAAAATATAAATCTGTCTAGTTCTTTACTGAAAGAAATTTGGATTGAATTTGAATTTTTTTTTTTAAGGAGGTTCTGTGTGTCTCATTGAAACCTTTTGTCTTCTCTTATTTAGCTACATCGAGAAGTTTACTGACTTTCTGCGGCTCTTTGTGAGTGTTCACTTAAGAAGAATTGAGTCCTACTCCCAGTTCCCCGTGGTGGAATTTTTGACACTTTTGTTTAAGTACACATTTCATCAGGTAATGCACCAGAATTGCCCATCCCTTTCACCCCCACAGTCTGCGTTGTTGTTTTCAGGAGAAATAACTTTACTTCCCAAACATTTTGTAGTGCTTAGTATGTAAAGATGAGCACGTTTATCCTTCATAACAACCCAGTGAGGTACGTATTATTATTATTATCATTTCCATTTAACAGATAAAGAACTTGAGGCACAAAAAATAACTTGCTCAGGATCATACAATAAGTGATGCTTTCAGCCCATGCAGCCTGTGCTCTCTTAACCACTATGGTGTGTTGGAGAAGCATACATTCTCCCAACTCCCTTCAACAAATACTTTTTGAGTTCCCACTATATTATATTTCAGGAGCTAGGCATATGTAATCTTCAAAGTCCTTGCCTCCATTGAGTTTACATTTTAGTGAACCAGTACTTTTTATTTGTATATATTTTAACAGCTTTACTGAGGTAAAATTTATATACTACTAAATGCACCCGCTGTAATGGAACAACGCAGTGATGTCGGGTACTATAGACTGTGCCACCATCACCACGGCCCAGTTGTAGACATTTCCTTCGTACCCTATCCCTTGTGTCCATTTGTGTGTGTGTGGTTAAAATCGGCTTTTTTATTGAAGTATCACACACATACAGAAAAGTGCAGACCATGTAACCACCACCTAACTCAAAAATTAGAACATTAACCGTTACCAGCAAAACCCAGAAATCTCATGTCCCTTCCCAGTGGCTTCCCCCTCATTTCTCCCTGAAGTAACCCCAATCCTGACTTACATCCCTGATTGGTTTCTAAGGGAAGCAAACAAAGTAGTATATTTGTTCTGTCTGGCTTTTTTTTTTTCTTTTTCATTTAGTATTATATTTGTGAAATCATCTGTGCTGTGTGGTAGTAGTTGTTCTTTTTCATTGCTTTATGGTAAGTCATTGTCTGAAGATCTATTCCACTGCCAGTTTGGGCTGCTTCCAGTTTTGGTGACCAGGGATCATGTTGCAGTGAACATGTTTGCACACATTTTTGGTGTACATATATAGCTCTTTCTGCTGGTACATACTAGGGTTGAAATTGTCAGTGAGGGCATCTGATTTTATAAGGAGACTTTTATGGTTGTTTAAATCACTAATGTAGTTTAATGGGGCTAGAGGAGAGGCAGGGAACTAGGCTGGGAGGAGTGTTTGTCTGTGATAGGGGACTTGGAGTAAGGATTTAGTGTGCTAGCCAGCCTTTCTCAAGGAGGTGCTTGGCACTCCGTCAGAGCCCCAGTGGTAAGGTGAGCCATTCCTGGGAATAGGGAAGGGCGCAGGTGGAGGAGGGTAACCACAGGCTGTAATGGTCACTCAGTGATGTTCAGTAGTGTAGACTGGTGCCATCATCGCTGACTTTGTCAGACCTCCAAGTGCAAGACGTCTGGCAGAGAGTCTGGTGAGTGCAGAGCAAGAAGGAAAACCTGCTGGCTCACCAGGCCTCAGGAGGAATAGAAGAGGGGATGAAATGTAGGAGGGTGAGGATGGGAAAGAGAATGAGGCATCAAAGCTGGGAAAGTTTTGAGAGGGGTCCAGACAAACCTAAAGGGGACTAGGCAAAAGAAGGATTTGATAGATAGCATAGGACACGTGTAGCAGAAATGAGAGAGAGTAAGGGAGCCAGCGCTGACGTCAGAAAGAAGGGACAATGGGATGAGAACGTCTTGCAGTCTTTTTTTTTTAAATATATTTTATTGATTTTTTTACAGAGAGAAGGGAGAGAAATAGAGAGCTAGAAACGTTGATGAGAGAGAGACATCGACCAGCTGCCTCCTGCACACGCCCTACTGGGGATGTGCCCGCAACCAAGGTACATGCCCTTGACCGGAATCGAACCTGGGACCTTTCAGTCCGCAGACCGACTCTCTGCCACTGAGCCAAACCGGCTTCGGCCATCTTGCAGTCTTGACCCCTAGGTAAAAAGGGATCTTTTAGTATCCTATATGCCGATGTAGAAGAAGGTGTTCAAGTGTGTGCATATCTTAGGACTTATTTGGATTTGGACTAAAAATTCTTGTTGGGCTCTGGTTGTTCGTTAGGTCTGTGTCCTTGGAAAAGTCTATTTCGTTTCTTTTGATTTCAGTTTCCTTACCTAAGGTGAGCAGCTACATTGGGCATTTTCAGGGTCTTCCCATTGTTCACCTTTTATGGTTCTTTCACCGTTGATTGCAGTTCTCCATTGAACTGAAAAGGGTAGTTTTATACACATACACATACACACATACACATACACATACACATACACATTATATTTATGTGCTGAAAAAAGAACTAGATATGGCAATGAAGCAATCCACAACCTTCTTCCTCCTTTACCTGCAGGTCTCTGTCAGCTGAGCCCCCTTCTGCTCTCGTGGCCTCCTGTTTGAGGACCTTTCTTTCTGGGTGCAGGTTCCTGGGCTGTGGAGTCCTCTAGGTTCGGGCAGAAGCAGATGCTGAGCATTGGCAGAGGGGTGGGAATCTGGAAGGGGCTCTGTGCCGTTTACACAGGGTGGGCAGCCCTTTGCTGGAGAGGCACAGTGGAGAAGAGATGGCAGGGCACACTCCTGCAGCAGGAGCTGGTGGTTGGGAGTTTTTTTGGGATTCATTTTAAGAATAAGAAATTAAATGCTCTCTAGAGAGAGCTTTAAGTTCTCATCTACTCACTAACAGTGTGAACTTACTTCATCATAGTTTAGTTAACTGTTAAGTGGAGAAATAGGGCTTTTAACTGGAGGGTTATTATGGATGTACTCAATATTTTTGCCTTTTGTTTATAAAATTCATGAAAAGTTTGGTATTGGTAAACATTTTGAAAGAAGAGATAAAGAATAAGATAAAGATGGTGTTAGTATCTTCTCTTTCTTTCCTTACTTTTTTTTACCCACCTAAGTGCCTTGCTGCAGTCCCTCCAGCCACAAGTGCTCACCAGATGTTTGCCCACTATCGCTTTCCTAGCTTGCTGAGGCTCTTGGTGTCTGCAGATAATCATATGATTTCTGTCTTCCTACTTTTTCTCTGACTGTGTCATCACCACTTCCTTCTTGGTCTTGCATTTTTCATTTTGCCCCTTCTTCCTAAAACTCTCTGAGAGAGTGTGGCCTGGGGTTTGAGGAGGGCTCTGGACCAGAGTCTCAAGATCCCCATTTTAGTTCTGTTCCTCTTCCTTATCTTTCACCTTGGGCAGGTGACTTCTGAGTTTTTGCTCCTTTATCTATCGATATAAAATGGGAAGTAAAAAAATATGACTGTCCAGTTTCCTGGACTATTGTGAAGTTAACACAGACCAGCCCAGCTAGGCGTGGCGTTCGATTCCCTGTCAGCCTGGGTTTCGGCCTCAACCCCCTTAGTGGCCGGTGTGCAAGAGGCAGCTGATCAGTGATTCTCTCTCAACATTAATGTTTCTAGCTCTCCCGTCTTCCTTCCTCTCTGAAATCAATAAAAATATATTTTTAAAAATCACTTACACCAATGCAAATGGCAACTAACCACTACAGACCACTTGCAAATAAGAGAGGTATCATTCGTTTCTTTCTTTTCCTTTTTTTACTATGACTTGATTGATTTCAGAAAGGAAAGGAGAGGGAAGGAGAGAGAGAAACATCAATGATGAGAGAGAATCATCAATTGGCTGCCTCCTGCACATCCACCACGGGATAAAGCCCACAACCTGGGCATGTGCATTGGTTGGAATAGAACCTGGGGACCCTTCAGTCTGCAGGCTGATGAGCCAAACCAGCCAGGGCCATTAGTTTCTTAAAGAAACTTGTCAGGATAATTATCCCTGGAATCTAATAAGTAAATCTGAGTGCAGGTACATTTAAAAAAATGGGCTTGGAAAGTTGGATGACTTTAAACGTGCAGTCAACCTATCATTGTTATCATCTTACCAGTCTGTGCCCACAGCAGTTGTCAATGGCCAGCTGTGGGTTATACACGAGGTCTCACGGTGGGGCTTGCATGTATGGATGTGAGTGGCAGTATTTCAGGTCCTACAGAAGGTTTATCTGCCCACTTTTTTTTTTTTCCAGCCTTCACACACATAGTACATCTTTAATTCAAAGGCATGGTAAGAGGTGTATAATTATAAAGTATTTTAACAACACCACAAAACCTGGACTTATATGGTGGCTTTTCTCTAATACACGTCTATGTGCTTCTGGTCAGTTATGTTCTTTAATGTGGGCTGTTGAATATTTCAAACCTAGGAAGTAGAGGTGCGTGACTTAATTAAGGGAAGCTCAGCAAGCCAAAAGCCAGGACAAGACTACATCTCCTGGCTGGGCAAGTCGAGTGCCTGTGTACCAATTGCCCATCTTCTCTCCATGTGGCTTATCAATTGTTTTCCTGTTTAATAGTCTACGTCATTTCTTTTCATGGCCATATCATGCTTTTTGTGAAGTTCGAAGTGGAGACAGGAAGCGGTCTTTCTCTCTCTCTCTTTTTTTTTTAAAATATATTTTATTGATTTTGTACAGAGAGGAAGGGAGAGAGAGAGTTAGAAACATCGATGAGAGAGAGTCATCGATCAGCTGCCTCTTGCACACCCCCTACTGGGGATATGCCCGCAACCAAGGTACATGCCCTTGACCGGAATCGAACCCGGGACCTTTTGGTCCCCAAGCCGACGCTCTATCCATTGAGCCAAACCGGTTTCGACGATTTTCTAAGGATGGCTTGTCAGTGGTCCTGTTGGAGCCCTAGCCATCTGGCGTCAGGGCTGCCTGGCAGGTTGTCAGCTTGGAGTCTGCTGTTTTTTAAATTATAGTTTTCAGTGTCAGACTCACTGGGCACATAACTCCCTCTGCATGCTAACACACAACATTAGTTACTTCTTGGGCAAGTTTCATGCAAGTCCATGTAAACTTCTGGATTTTCTTGTGGATCAGAAATGGAAGGAAAACTGATCCAAGGTGATGGTATTATTTCTTTCCACATCTGATTCTGCTACCCATACGTGGTTCAATCAAGCCATCACAAATAAAACCAAAGAGTTCTTATAGGTAGCAAGAATTTGAGTGGATATGTAAGGGATCGAGGGACCACAGGTTGAAACTGAACATGTACTAATATGAGAAGGTCTAGATGGTGGAGAGTTTAATGCCTGGATTTTGTAAGAAATAGAGCGGAAAGCTCTCCAAAGCATTTGTCACTGCAATCACTCAAATGATCCGGCACTAGGATCCTACAAAAACTTTGTCTCCTCTCCTCACTTTGTCCTTATCAACACTGGGTTAGAGACGCTGTTACTTGTTGGACACCCTTACTTCTGCAGATGAGATGATGCCTCTGAGGCAGACTTAACAAGCTCATTGTCAGTCTGTTATAGAGGAAGACTGCAAATGATCTTTCCTAATATTCAAAGGTGTAAATTTGGCACTTTTGGAGCCACTGAAATTTATTTTCAGTTTCATAATGGTATGTCGTGGAAAGAGCATTTGCCAGAGGTAAAAGTACCTCCTCCTTCCCCTGACCTTGAGTAAATCAAATCTTTGGATTTCAGTTTTCTTCTCTATAAACAGATTTGAATTGAATAATCTGAAAGAGTCTTCCTTACCACTGTCTTAGATTTTAATATAGGTGTTTGCTTGGCTTATTTTGTAACTTAGTTTGTCCCACTTAGTATCTCCCTAATGACATGTTCTTCCCATATGTGATTCTGCCACCAATTATGTTCTTTACACATCTGATCCTGCCACCCCCGCCTTCCCTCTGAGATTCAACAGTCTGTTCCATGCTTCTACCATGTTTCCTTGAAAATAAGACATCCTCCGAAAATAAGATCTAGCACATGGAAAGATAAGACGTCCCCTGAAAATAAGACCTAGCGCAACTTTGGGAGAAAAAATTAACATAAGACACTGTCTTATTTTTGGGGAAACAGAGAATGTCTCTATACTCTTGTCTCGTTAGGTTCAACAGACCTAATTGTGAAGATCCTCTAAAAAATACCAGGAAGTAGAGGGAACCTATACTTATGGTTGTAATATTCTGGTAGAAGTATACTGGGGGGTGGGTTCCTAAGGAGTGTTTGCATTAAGTAATTTCATTGTCTGGATTTCTTTTGTACCATAGCCTACGCATGAAGGTTACTTCTCTTGCTTGGACATCTGGACGCTGTTTTTGGACTATCTGACAAGTAAAATTAAAAGTCGTCTGGGAGACAAGGAAGCAGTTCTCAACAGGTAAACCCAGAAATGTTGATAACTTAGAAATAGACATTTTTGCCAGTTTTTCTTATGGCCTTGAAGGGTCAACCATGCAACCAGACCTCTTCAGTGAAACTGAGTCACATAACCTCATGTAATGCCATTTACTATCTTCTTCCTTTTGCTCCTTAATATTTCATTTTCTGAAAACATTCCCCCCCCCCCTATTTAAAAAATACTGTTATTATTATTATTTTTTTTTTAGGTGTGATATGCTTCATGGTGTGTGCGTGTGTGTGTGCGTGTGTGTGTGTGTGTGTGTGTGTGATATATATATATATATATATATATATATATTTTTTTTTTTTTTTTTAATTTATTTATTTCAGAGTAAGGGAGAGGGACAGAGAGATAGAAACACCAATGAGAGAGTATCATTGATCAGTTGCCTCTTGCAAGCCCCACACTGGGGTCAAAATTGCATGCGCCCAGTCTGGGAATTGAACTGTGACCTCCTGGTTCATAGATCGATGCTCAACCACTGAGCCCCACCGGCTGGGCATTGTGTGTTGTTTATAATGACATTAGTAAAGTATTTTATTGGATGAAATTATGTGACACCTGGGATTTGCTTTAAAATAATCCACTGGGAAGAGATGGGGAAGTGGGTTGGCCATGTGTTGGTTGAGGTTGAACTTAGTTGGTAGGAACTTAGGGTTCATTATATTCTTACTCCTTTTGTATGTGTTTGAAAATTTCCTTAATAAGGTAATATATACTTATAATGGAAAAGTATTTATTTTAGAAACCAGGCAAAGATAAAAAATAAAAGAAGATAAGTTATCCATAATTCTATAATCCACAGATAATTACTTTTGTACTTATAAAATTTTATATATATATATATTTAAATTATTTTAAAAAAATCTTTATTGTTGCAAGTATTACATACACTGAGTGGCCAGATTATTATGATCTCTTAATGCATAATAATCTGGCCACTCAGTGTGTGTATGTGTATATATATTACACACACACACACATACACACACACGCGCGCACACACACACACACACACACACACACACACACACATATATATATATGAAGCCCAGTGCATTAATTCATGCATGGGTCGGGTCTAGCCAGCCTGGCCAGGGGGAGGGAACATGAGCAGTTGGCCAGCATGCCTGCTAGTCGAACTACTGGTCGAGGGGACAACTTGCATATTAGCCTTTTGTTATATAGGATATATACTGAGTGGCCAGATTATTATGTGTTCAGAGATCATAATAATCTGGCCACTCAGTGTATGTCCCCTTTTTTCTCCCATTGACCCTTCTAGCCCATCCCTGTCCCAGACCTTCGCCACCCTATTTTCTGTGACCATGGGCTATGCATATATGCATTCAAGTTCTTTGGTTGATCTCTTCCCTCCCATCCACCCACCCCGCCTCTCCTCTGAGATTTGACAGTCTGTTCAATGCTTCTATGTCTCTGGGTCTATTTTGTTCAACAGTTTATTTTGTTCCTTAGATTCCACTTACGAGTGAGATCATGTGATACTTGTCTTTCTCTCACTGGCTTATTATGCTTAGCATAAAAATAGAAAATGGGGAAATGTTTTCTCCCCATGTGTCTGAAGCTCATTTTTTGCTTGCAGGTAGACAGTGTGTTTTCTGTACACTGTGGTCATTACTTCATTTGAGAAATATTGAGCTAATGTTTTTAGAATGCTTGGCACATTAAAATGCTCAGTAAATGGTATCAGTGGTTGGCGGTGGAGATTGTGAGCATGCCTTCCCCAGAAATGTGCCAAACAGGGGTGCCGAGGAGAATCCCTGCCTGGGAAGAGGTTGGATGGAACCTCTAAAACCTTTTCCACTGCTGAGGTTTTATGAGCTTTTAAAACTATAAATATTTGCATTTCAAGTTTAAACATTTGCACTTTTGTTCCCAAACATTATTTTTGTGATTGCAAAATAGCTTCCAAGTTGCTATGGTGCCAACTCACTTATGGTTATGGGTAGTATATTCATGTATCAGAAGTCTTATTACACAACAGTAGATCCTGTTTTTGGTGAATTTGCTAACTGTAAGTAATTGTGTTTTTGAATGAAACTCTTCAAAGCAAATGTACTATTGCCAAATTCTTTCTTGAATGCCTAACAGTTGCATCGTTTAGTCCTGGGACTATGCCTAATTTTGCTATATTTAGTTGTAGATATTCTTTCATCTCTCTCACACTTATTGAAAGAATAAACTGGGGAAGTGATTAATATGGAAATCCTTCTTAAAGCACAGTACAAGTGTGCTTTAGGTGTGGAGAATATAGTTTCATTGGGAAAATGTACACTAGCAAATTATTACTATTATTAATAGTAGAAAACAACGGCAACTATATTGTTGATTAAATTTTGTTGTATTGTTTAAATAAATTCGATTAAAAAAAAAGGTATTAGAAAACGACATTAATTATTACTAGCCCTAATATGATTAGACACTCAGTTATAGCGATGACCCCAACAGTAATAGTAATAGATGATGTTGCTGCCATTTGGCTATGGCGGCAATCATGGAGTTAAGTGACAGGGCCCTTGGAGAGCCTAAAGGCATTTAGCCTTCCTGCTGATGTGACCTGTCTGCCCAGGCACCTGTTATTTGATAGCATCTGATACCACAGTTGTCAGTGGTTCTGGCTTTTATTATTGTTAATCCTCACCCAAGGAATGAAAGAACAAATGAATGAATAAATAAATATGTAGGCAATAAACAGACAACTCAAGATGGATAACTACAAAGGATTAAAGCATAATCCTGGATAGCTTTTTCAACTCTATAATGAAACAACTAAGACTAAAATCATTTACTCTCTAGGGAAGTCCATTTTCCCATTGATTTTTAGAGAGAGTGGAAGGGAGGGAGAGAGAAATTATTTTTTCCATTAATTTTTAGAGAGAGTGGAAGGGAGGGAAAGAGAGAGAGAGAAACATTGATGTGAGAGAGACATATTGATTGGTTGCCTCCTGCATGCCTCCAACCAGGACCAGGGACCAAGCCTGCAACCGAGGTATGTACTCAAGGTCCAAATAGAACCCCTGACCCTTCAGTTTGTGAGCTGACACTCTATCCACTGAGCCAAACCAGGTAGGACCTGGCTGACCACTTTTAGCACTAGGGATTTTTCTCATTATCATTTGATTATCATTCTAAATGAAGCTTTCTAATTTTTCATGACTTCTTAAAAGAATATATATTTTTTTATTTCAGAGAGGAAGGTAGAGGGAGAGAGAGATAGAAACATCAATGATGAAAGAGAATCGTTGATTGGCTGCCTCCTGCATGGCCCTTCTGGGGATTGAGCTCAAAACCCGGATATGTGTCCTTGACTAGAATCGAACCTGGGACCCTTCAGTCTGCACGCCGATGCTCTCTCAACTGAGCCAAACCAGTTAGGGCATGACTTTTTTAAAAGCATACACTTACAACACTTTTATATATTTAGACAACAAAAATGCTCAAACCCCAAGCCTTCAGAGTTGGTCTGTGGCTTATGCTGTGAAAGAGTAACCATCATCTGAAGACCTGCTTGTCCATCAGATACCTCATAGTGGTCTAGACGTGTTCTGAACATGGTCTAGACGTGTTCTATGATAGTAAAACTGACCAGGAACGGTGTGTAAGTAGTCCATTGGGGTCCACAAAGAAAAAAAATTAGACTTTAACTGATAAATTTTATCTGTCACTTTAAAAAAAAAAATATATATATTATTTTATTGAGTTTTTACAGAGACGAAAGAAAGGGATAGAGAGTTAGAAACATCGAGAGAAACATTTATCAGCTGTCTCTTGCACGGCCCCTACTGGGGATGCGCTCACAACCAAGGTACATGCCCTTGACCGGAATCGAACCTGGGACCTTTCAGTCTGCAGGCTGATGCTCTATCTACTAAGCCAAACCAGTTTTGGCTATCTGTCACTTTTTATACTCTACATTTATACAAGCATGCTCAAAAGTTTTTAAATGAAAGTTTTAAAAGTTTGGTAGCCACTGTTCTAGTTATAAAAGATCTCAATATATCAGACTGTGCTGTTTTGCAGAAGCAGCTGAAAAAGAGCACTGGCTATTGGTAATTACCACATTCATTTTATCTGAGAGCTTATAAATATGATCAAATGTTTTTCAACCAATAAAATATATCTTTGAGAAGTTGGGGTGCTTTTGGAATCAGACTTGTGGTTGAGCCAGATTTTCAGAAACAATTGATCTTACAGGAAGTAGTCAGAATGTTTTCTCAGTGTGTTAGAGGGAAATGTAGGTGTGGTTAAGTCACAGAAGCAGCTCTGAGTTCCTGTTCCTTGTGGTTTAAAGGTTTTGCATCATTTGTCACTGACAACAATGTGGTAGACATTGTAGGCTACAAATTTAGAAGCACAAATGTGCATGGATTTATTTTTGGTCTTAGGAGCTTGGAAATTAGAGCTCTGAATGTTCTTACTCAGAATACTTCAGAGCTTCTTGATCAGAACTGGTGGGGATTTTAGAGAACTTGGGTTCCAATATTAATGAAGTAAAAAGGTTTGTAACTTACCCAGCTGAACTTGCTGGTGGGGTGCACTCAGTGGTTGAGCTTCATCCTATGAACCAGGTTCGATTCCTGGTCAGGACACATGCCCCTGTTTTGGACTAGATCCCTAATGTGCATTACGTGGGAGGCAGCCGATCAATGGTTCTTCATTATTGATGTTTTTTTTTTTTTTTTAATATATTTTATTGATTTTGTACAGAGAGAAAGGGAGAGAGATAGAGAGTTAGAAACATCGATGAGAGAGAGTCATCGATCAGCTGCCTCTTGCACACCCCCTACTGCAGATGTGCCCGCAACCAAGGTACATGCCCTTGACCGGAATCGAACCCGGGACCCTTCAGTCCCCAAGCCGACGCTCTATCCATTGAGCCAAACCGGTCTCGGCCATTATTGATGTTTTTGTCTCTCCCTCTCCCTTTCTCTCTGAAATCAATTTAAAAAATAAGA